GTGCGCTGGGCAACGCTGCAGACAACCACTGAACGCGTACTGCACGCTGGCGTGCGTCACTGTACGCTGACTGGCATGACAGGGGGGGTTGGCGTGCGCACGCGCATCGCCAACGACTACTGGCTGTGGGCACTGGCCTTACGCGGCACTCTACCGCGTAGTCCCTGCACCGTGCACCTCCTGCCGGCACGCTGCTACCGCGATATGCGGCGTTTCCTTCCGACAACCTCAACATAAAACAACATCTTCTGCCTCATCATGAATATAATTATCAAAATGACTTGAAAACGTAACTTTTGCACGATCAACATGAAAGGGCCGTGGCGAGCGCGCCGTGCGCCGCCGACGGCAATACGCCGTCTCCCGACCAAAACACCTTCTCTCTCGGCAACTCCAGAACACATAAACATGAAAATTATTTCGAGGCAATTTAAGACATAAATGCACAGAAAGACATGATCACTGCTGAAGGTAACAGAACGTGACCCGAAGCTGCCCGTGGCTACGCGCGATAAGCGCTAGCGACGGCTTGAGCCACTTCACCGATAAAACGTCGTTTTGCCTCGACTAACATGGACCAACTGGACATGATATGATCTAAACTGAACAAATAAACGTGAATTGTACGAGAGTTGCCGGGCAAAACAAAAAGTTATTCGATCACGATTTACTTTAAGCATAATCGGACTTTAGCACGGCCTTACTAGAAATTCTCGAACATGATTCGAACACTTAACCTTATTATGACCTTACTAACATAATTATAAGATGAGGATAACGATACCTTCTTAGATGCTCGTCGGAATTTATAAATCGATCGCAACCTCCGCTAGTACTCGCGTGCTCCCGAGTGTATGCTTCGCTCCTTGCCGTGCGTTGGTTTGCTAACTACCGTGCGATGTGGAATGTATAAAGCTTAAGATGACAAGCTAAGTTACTTGCTGATATATGGGGGTAATGTTCTGAGTACGACTTATATGGAAATGGGGGAAAAATTCAATCAACTCATGCTTAAATATGTAGTAGCCGTGGGATGTTGATGACGCCAAGAGGACGTGGCCTCCTAAGGCCTTGCCATTTGCTACTCTTAAAATGAATTAAAAATGACTAATCCTTTCTTTACTCTCCCAATTAGACACGTAAAAGACTTGGGATAAAATAAAAAAAAAAAAGTTTCCTTTTCCTTAAGGAAATGCGTACGACTTTGTTGCTAGAAATTGGACAAAAATCGCCTAACTCACGGTTTTAGACAATTGATTGGAAATTAATTCCAATTGGTGCACGGCTTATAGCCTTAGTAACATGATTAATCTTAATTACACACTTATTTTATGTTTAATTATTTAATTAAACATAATGCTTAATTACCAAATTATTCCGAACGTAAACGGTACGTCGAAATTAGATTTCGGTAATCTTGACTGAACATAATTAATTCCGAAAATAATAAACGTTAACATTATTATATCGGAATTAAAACATAATTTATACCGATAAAATATCGGGATATTACAATCCTCCCTCCTTACAAAATTTCCGTCCTCGGAAATTCAAAACATAACTGATATACATGAACTATGTACATAGAATAAAGAAATATGTACATCATAACTGAAAATCTGGGAAACGAGCACGAATATCGGACTCCTCCTCCCAAGTAGCTCTGTGGCGATCCCACTGAATAGGGGAATATCTCGCTTCCGGAGCCGATGGACCTGACGGTCTAGTACAGCCACGGGTCGCTCCTCGTACGATAGATCTGACTGAACCTGAATATCCGTGAGAGGAATGACATGATCGGGGTCGCACACGTACTTACGCAACATAGAGGCGTGGAAAACATTATGAATGCCTGATAACTCGGGAGGTAGGGCTAGTCGATACGCGACCTCGCCTACTCGCTCGAGAACCTCGAACGGACCGATGAATCGAGGGTGCAGCTTCCCTCTCTTTCCGAATCGTACAACTCCACGAATCGGACGAACTCTGAGAAAGGCTGGCTCGCCAACCTCGAACTGAATGTCTCGTCGATGATGATCGGCGGAAGATTTCTGTTGACTCTGAGCTGTCCTGAGTCTCTGCCGGATCAACTCGACCTGCTCCGCTGTCTCCTCGATCATCTTAGGACCGAGTACTCGCCGCTCTCCGACGTCATCCCAATAGAGAGGGGAACGACACTTGCTACCATAAAGTGCCTCGTAAGGAGCCATCTGAATGGAAGAATGATAGCTGTTGTTATACTCGAACTCGGCGTACGGCAACAACGACTCCCACTTAGCACCCCTGTCAACAACAAAAGCGCGAAGCATATCCTCAAGCGTCTGAATAGTCCGCTCTGACTGACCGTCCGTCTCCGGATGGTAGGCTGAACTGAACTCTAACTTCGTGCCCATCGCCTCATGTAAATTGTGCCAGAATCGGCTGACGAATCTGGGATCTCTGTCTGATACGATCGTAACGGGCACTCCGTGGAGTCGGATGAACCCATGGGTATATATCGCAGCCAACTTGTCCAGAGACATCTTCATCGAAACGGGTAAGAAATGAGCGACCTTAGTCAATCTGTCGACCACGACCCAGAAAGCGTCGTGATGTTCAGATGATCTCGGTAATCCCGTAACGAAATCCATCGTGACTTCCTCCCACTTCCACCTCGGAATCGGCACCTAACTGGAAATCCCTGACACCTCCGGCGCGAACTTTGGCCTCCATGACACGAACAAACTCGTCAGAAGCCTGCTCTCGCCGGATTCTCTCTCTCAGCGTCGGCTGAAGCTGCATAGCACTGACGCTGGCACTGGTACTCCCCGAAACGGCTATGGGAAGTGCATCGATTGTCTGAAGCTACATCCGGGCAAACTCATGAATATCGGACTCTGCTGCGTAATGACGTACGTCAAGTCACCCTTCACCTTTCGGCTTAGGGCATCTGCGACGACGTTCGCCTTCCCCGGATGATACTGAATAGAGCAGACGTAATCCTTAACAAGTTCGAGCCAACGGCGCTGCCTCATATTGAGCTCCTTCTGCGTAAAGATATACTGCAAGCTCTTGTGATCTGTGAAAATCTCGCAACGTCCGCCGTAAAGATAATGTCGCCAGATCTTGAGAGCATGTACAACTGCTGCTAACTCCAAGTCGTGCGTCGGATAGTTCTGCTCATGAGGCTTAAGCTGGCGTGAAGTATACGCGACGACCTGGCCGTCCTGCATAAGGACACATCCCAAGCCCTGTCTCGAAGCATCGCTGAAGATAGTGATGTTAGAGTAGTATACCCAGCGTTCCAATTTTGATTGAATGTATTCTACTTGTAAATACAATCTATTGGAATTATATTAATTAAAAGGCATTACTTTATCTTAAGAGTAAGCATTTCTCATATAATTGCACTTAAGATAAAATCCCTAGATCACTTATGGTTATAAGATATGGTTGCGCATAGAGATGGTAATTATGGAACATACCTTGAAAGCCGTGATCTTAAATAAAGTTCCAATTCGATGGATGTTTCGAGATGGGATATCGAATAATCCATAAAAGAATTGCACATAGTATGTATGCTTGTTGGACAAGAATGTTGCATTCCATCAACATTAGCGTGGGACGCAAGTACATATATGTAAGTGCTTGTTAGAGAACAAGTTCACTGAACATGACCGTATGAAAATACTTAATGAAAGATTTGTCTTGTCGAATAAGTATTTTCATGTTACAATAGTACATGATTGGTCCTTAGACTTGAGGCACAATGGTAACTTTGTGCATATTACATTCTACTTTGATTTATCCTTTTGGTTGCTAGCACAATCGTATAAAGGGATATTTTGGGTATTATGTTAATATGTATGGAAGTTTGTTAGTGGCCAACAAAGGATTCGACACTTATGAAGGTAAGTGAATTTCCTATGTGTTTCATAGTTAGTAATTCAAAGTCCTTGGCCAAGACGGGATGAATATAGATTCATAAATGAATTACTAAACTTGAAATGGAATCATAGTTATTAAATCAATTTGGGTTTCGACTAAAATCATACCCAAGATTTAATTGGGAAATTGGATGTCGAAAGGATTTTACATGTATGTAATTGTAATTGAAATAGGTTTACTCGCTATTCACTTAATACTAGATTCGTGCTACTTGCTAGGTGTTCCCATGATATGTGGGTTCATGAATTAAAGGGTTAATTCATGAATAAGAGTTAATAAAGATTAACTCAAATTACAAAGAGTTGTAAACCCACTACTAGTATTAATTGTGAACCTAAAAGGTCACACCAATTTTTGAATGAAGGTAAAATTCAAATACTAATTCTAAAGAGTTAGAATTAATTGATTAATCTAATTTGATTAGATATCAATTTATGGAATATATTAAATTAATCAATTGGATTGATTAATTGAATTTTGGATATTAATTTAGTAATTAATGAAATTACTAATTAATAGTTGAAATTTAAAATTAGATTTTAAATTTCAAATCCAAATAATAATTATGATTATTAAATAAGGAAATTGGAAGAAATGATTAAAATAATAAAGTCTTGAAAAATGTTTTCAAGAATTATTATTTTAACGTTTTATTATTTTATCTTTAATATAATTAAAGATTAAAATAATTAAGGATTATAATAAATGGTGGTTAAGAGAGGTTGAGAACCACTCCACATTGTTTATTATATAAAAG